GTTGTGACCCTACTGACTAGGTGCAAGGTACGAACTTAAACACTCCTACCATTTAACATACAATCATAGATTCTCAACACATAGCAATTTGTAATATCATAACAAGGCACGTAAAAGTTTACTAATATTATCCGCATTTGATATATGAAAATTTTGCTCGTATGAGCTTACATGAGTGACACTAGTTCGACAGCATAACGGCTCTATGAGTAGTGTAGTCACTTAAACATAGAGTCGGGGTATATAACATAGTTCCTAAGGACCTACTAAGATAAGTCTATGCCTAACCGCGATGATCTGCGTCCGGAGGTGGTTCCGAGGATGTGGATGCTCCCCGAAGACGAGCCACCAATTGTTCTGCGTCCTGAAGTCGAGACTCCCACCTTACCTGCCTCATGTGAAACTTCCGAAGAACATCATGTGTCTCCTGTTCCGCACGCTCAACCCTAGTCCTCAGTTGGCGTACCTGATAAGCAGTGCCCTGAGCAAGATCGCCGGTGTACCGTAATCGTCTCACCATGACCGGTAGGGATCGGTCGGCCGGTCCTCCATCCATCAGGTCAAAGAACTCGCGAGACATGCCGATCGGGGGTCGCTGTCCCTGTTGCCTGCTCCGTCTCCAAAGATCAATACCCCAGGGAAGGGTAGGACCAATGGGCCCCACACGGTAAGCAGGCACCCTGATCGGGTAAGGGGGGTTGATGACTTCGGACTCTGCGTACGAATCACCCCCTTCACTGTCATCGGGTTCCTCTTCGAAGTTTTCTTCGTCTTCTTCGGGTTCGGCAGGCTCGCCTTCATCTCCAGCCTCCGGTTCCCCGTCAGATTCCTCTTCGGGGTCTTCCTCAGGCTCTTCCTCTAACCATCCGTTATTCCCCTGATTAGGGAAATAAGGGTCTCCAGGGTGATGAAAACCATCCATGTTGTCTGCGCGAGTATGTAAATATGCTAACATTATTCCTAGGATGCTACAGCTATTGTACAGACTAAGCAAGCGTTCTCTTTTTGGTGGTATAGGGGTATAGTTTTAGGTTCCCTAGCTATCACGATCTCATCGGAACGTGTGTTAGTTATACTTTGAAGAGAATGTAGTTGATCAGGCTACATCCACTCCTTGGTACCACTAAGAACAGTCCTGATTTAACCGAGATACTAGCATTATCTTGTTTGGTTCGGCGTTATGTTCCTTGTTCCTAATGCAAGCAAAGGTGTTTTATTGTTGTATTCTTACTTGTTTTGTTCAGAGTTATGTTAGTCCCTCTATTGGTTTATAGTTGCATATCAATGTATGGTTCGATATGCTAGTTCACTATAAACAGAGCTCTGATACCAACCTGTCACACCCCCGAACCAGACGACGGAAACGTCCGAGGGCTATTGTGACTCAATTGAATACCATTACAATGAATATACATGAAACATAACATCATACAATACCAAGCATTGGAATAATACAACTGATTGCGTTTACATTCAGTACATAGCTTCAAAACATTACATTCTCAAAGGTAGATTGTTCAATACTAGTTAAACAAACAACAAGAAATCACTGAGTACATTTTTTTCCCTTCGGTTTACCTGTTACCTGAGAATACAAGTATTTTGAAAAACGTCAACATATGAAATGTTGGTGAGTTCATAAGTAATGTTTGAAATATAGTGGTTTGTATTGTTTTGAAAATCACCAGAAAATCCGGTATTTTCTAAAAAGAACTTAGTATAAAAAGTGTGAAGATCCGTACGTATGCTTATTTGTTTCTATAAATGTAAAAGAGCGATTTGTAAAACTCGGTATGTAACTCATAGGTGTACTAATTGAAAACCCTTGGAAAACCTGATGTTTTCCTAATACTTTGCATGAAATAATTTGTATCTTGTTATTTCGTTACAACAGGTGTATTCGTTGAGTCCCGGTGACGTTGGATTAATTATGGATTGTGAATTGTTATAAACACACATTAATGAAAATGACTAGTTTACAACCATACAAACGATCCCTTAGGCGTCGCTCGCACTATTCACTTAATCCAAACTCCTGGACTTCATGTAGCCCCACGACCGTGGAGGAAAAGCAGGTGCGAAGCCCTGATATTTTTCCGTAAGTCGTTCAAGGCTATCGTGAATGCGAAGGGCCCTTAGCCGGACTTGCATTTGGTGAATTCTCGACTTTACTAGCAGCACCAAAAGGCCCTTGGGGTCCAATAGCACAAAGCCTGTAAAAGTCCTTTTACACGACATGTAAGACCCAACTACATGTAAGCGGGTTTCCTTCGGGCCTAAAGATCATGCCATTGGGCTAGCTAGGCCCAACAAACATGATTTGAAACTTTTGGGCCCAAAGACGGTGTATCGACGTCTGGTGTATTCTCACATGTGTATTGACTTCCCGAATTTTCCGCGTGTGTATTGAAATTTCATCGTGTTAGTAATTTCAGATTCATTATTGATTCGAGAACGAATCAATTAGTTTGATAACGATTTTTGGTGTTGTTGTGTATTGTGATTTGTCGGTAGTCGCAATGTCAGTATTTTAGTCCTTAAACCATTTGTCTTGGCATTTTAATATCAAAACTTGTTGAAATTGATATTTTTCAGCACATTTTATTTGAAAACAGTTTTAGTCCCTCAAAATACAGTTTTCTCGGCTGTAACCTCCCTTTTTCGCAGTTTTTACATTTTTGGCCCAAATTTGAAATTTTTTGCAACTTTGGTCCTTTTTAATTATGAAAAACATTTTTAACCTTTGAAATGGACTTGGAACACTAGTAGTCCACTGTTTTACAGAAAAACACAGTTTCAGCCCCTCAAATTGGAAAATTTCGCATATTGGGCCTTATTGGGCCGAAAATATCATTTTTAGCCCATTATGCTTAAAAATTTTACATTTAATCCTCCAAAGAGAATATTTCCAGAAAAATACCTTATTAAAACTGTTTTGACTCATTTCATCCATCATAATTTGTATTTTTCCATTTTGGGCCCTATAACTTCATTTTTTTTTAACAATTTCAGTCCAAAAAAAAAGGGATTATTAGCCCAATGAGTTCAATTTAACCAACTTGGTTATTTCTTTAGAAATAATTTGTGTGTAATATATGTTTAACACTTGTTTCATACATCCTAATTCAAATCCTGAATTTAAGGACTTTTTGACTAGTTCCAACACCATAATCACATATAAACATGTAAATAAGCATAGAAATCATACAAAGCATACATATACTCATAGATATACACATTTGCTTGTATTCCCCCCCCCCCCACAAAACTTATAAAACCGAAAAATAGGGGGTATGAAGCTCACCTTTGGGTGTGGTTTCGGTTGTGGAGAAGAGATGGAAGAAAATGGGATGATTTTCGGCCTAAGCAACCTTTTCTTGATGATCTCGAGTTTGAGAGGTTCTAAGACACAATATTATGATTTCATATGAGTTAAGAAGAGAGTTTTGGATATAAGAAGAAGTCTAAAGTGTGGATCCAAGTTTCAACTTACCTAGATGATGATTTTTGTGAAGAATTCTCCTTGTAAGGGTCTTAATTCTCGAAATTTTTGAAGGAGGAGGGAGGAATGCTCTTCAAGACTTAGAGAGATTTGGAATGGATTTTTGTGATGTGTGTGTGTGTTCTCGGCCGAAACAAGAGAAGAAGAGAGAGAGGAGTTGAAGTGACACTCCTAGATGCATGTTGGTCCATACATGGAGGTATGAACTCCATAAGTCAACTCTTCACCTTTGGATTTGGGCTTTTGGGACGAGATTTTAAAAGGAAAGGAAAGTTTTGGGCTTTAATGCCCCTAAGCCCAATATTAGAGTTAGTTTGGATGATTTTTGGCCCAAAAAATATAATATGATTTTTACACTTTGTTGGGCTAGTTTAGGTTAATTATGGTTCATAATATTTAATTTATTTTATTCTAGGCCCAATATGGCCGAAAATGTTGAAATAAATGAATGTGGGTCCAATTAGAGCCCATTTAAAGGTTCTAAGCCCATGATAGTAAAATTGGAAGTTTATTGGTCCATTGGGTCCAATAAGGAAGTCCTAGTCCAAAATGGACCTAAACAAGAACTTCTAGGGTTTCCAATTGCTTGTTGACTATTTGTAATACTTGTATGGTGTATTTGATTGACAATTTTGATGTCATAGAGTAAGCATCATACATATTCTTAAGTTTTTGATTCCACATTTTTACTTGAGTGTAGTGATTACAAGACACAAAATTTCTAGTTGTGACACCATATTGTGTATAATTTGTATGCATAAGGCAACCGATGGTGTTGACAAAAGTTCCTAGCATTGCAGTGGCCAGAAGGGTAACGATTACCAGGAGAGCCTAGGAATCCTACGATGAGAATGTCGAAGGTCATTGTGTGTAAACAATTTCTACATTAATGACATGAATTTAAGACACGAACAATTAAGATCAAAAGTGTGCCTAATGCTTGGATTAAAAATAGCTCTAGAAGAGTTCTCAAAGATGGAAATTCTCTGTGAGAGCGTATAAACGACAATTAGGGTTCAAAGTATAGCCCTAATATGCTACGTGCATGCACTATATATAGACTAGTCTAGATAGTTGATCCGAACATGGGCATACCCATTTCGAAATAAACAAAACCATATAATCACATATTTGACACAACACATAATAGACACAATAATCTCCCCCTTTTTGTCAAATTTAGAAGGAGTATATTCATTTTCTTCACTACACGTCAAACTGTTTAGCCATTATATTCAAAAGCAAGTTTCGGACACATAAGTACCATCTGATCATACTGAAAAGCATTTGAGGTCGGTAGAAGTATTCGCTTTGCATGCTTGATCCATAGAAAGAATAGTGTTCAGAGCAGTGGTAGAATACAAATTTTTGTCTTGCAGAAAGAACATACTTTTCTGAACTGTTTCTCCTTCCTTTCTGTTGTACACGATGCTCTAATGCTCTTTTCGGATAATTCCTACTTTCAGCTTCTTAATGTCCATTGGTTGGTCTTCTGGCTTCAGATCGGGCCTTTTTTCAGAACTGATGTGTTCTCCACATCCATCTTTGCATTTTCAAGGATGTAGCAGATGATCAACCTTTTCAAATACGCCACAATAGGCTCACACTTCTTTTCATCTTTCATAAAAAGGTTTAACAAGGAGATCCAGTCGGATGGGTTCATAAATTGCAAGTCTGCCAAAGTGAACTCATCCACAATATGATTAGCTCCTCTGAATCCCTTGAACGGTATGCTCAAAAAGTCTTCGGTCTGAACATGCGATCTAACCTTTACAAAAATTATTTTCTTCAAGCTCCAACACTTGTACGGTGGCTTACCCTACTTCAAGTAAAATGAAAAGAGTTTCTGATTTACTGGACTATCCAAGATCCAATACATCTCAATCTTCTCAAAACAACAAAAGACAAATGCAATGGATGTGATGGGAAAATCAAATTGAGATTCCACATCGTTGTTCAGATCAAATGAGATCAAGGGATCCAGCCAATAGATGCTTCGATTGTCAATTACCACTTTCTGAATGTGTTCCATTATCTAAGGAGGATACAATGACTTCTGAGTTTCAAGCATAAACTTCGCATTCTAAACATCAGCTTGATTTGTTTCTAATTTCTTCCGAAGTGCCTGGAGATCATCTGGCACTTTATCATGCTTTTCCATGGCAATCCTTTCGGATTAGGTCATCTTCGGATTATCCTCAGTTTCATTTTCGAAGATACCTTTACCTTTGTCATTGTCTTTGTGTTTTCCTAAACCAGAAGCTACATTATCCTTCTTTTCAGTTTCAATCTTTGGTTGTTGATCCTTGTCTCCCCCTTGTTTCAGAAAATCCCAGCTTCCTAATATACCTATAATCTGATAAAGCACAACAAAAACCGGTTGAAGCTTTTTCGATAATTATTGTTGAACCGAGACAGTGAACAAAGAATCACAAATCTTAACAAGCCTCATCATGTAGTCGTTGGCTTCAAAAATGCACCCTTTGATTAAAGAACGCTCTTCTTCAAGGTTGGTTTTGGATCGGGTAGCATTTTCAACTTTTCAGAAAGGGCCTTATCCTTCTGAGTTTTCTTAGCTAGCTCATCTATTATCTTATTTTCTGTTACCAAGTCTGCTTGTAGCTTTTCAATCTTGGAAAGGACAGAGGAAGAGAGTTCAACATTCTCCACTTTGATTTCAAAACGAACAAGTGAGAGTGGCTCCTTCTCAGCTTGTAAAGAAGTGTTAAATCCTGTGATTACTTTTTTCATGGCTTCAATATTTCTATTAGAGGAGATTCTGAATTCATCAATAAAAGTAGTCACTTCTTGAGATATTTTTTCGACTTTTGTAGTCTTTTCAGAAGCTTGAATTGCCTTGGTTGCGTCTTCAAGGACTTTGGCATTTGCTGTTGTGAGCATCTTCACAGTGGCTTTGTGGGATGTCATCATGTATTCTCATTTAGATGAAGATGAAGATGTGGAAGACCCTAAAAGAGAATCTAGTTTTTCGTTATGCTTCTTGAAATGCCCTTTTTTCATTAGGGCATCATCACTATCACTATTGATTTTTATTCTAAAGGGGCAGAACACAAAAGCAGAAATAGGCCCCTGGTCATCTCAAAATAAGATTTCTTCTTCCTCATTGAAAAGAGAAGCAGGAGAAGTGTCTTGATCCAAAGTCACATCGATGTTGACATTTGGCCCTACATCAGATGTGTTGACATAAATGTCTGAATTATGTACCTCCTCCAAAACGGACTCAGATACAGGGACTTATGGTGGAGTAAAAACTGATGTTGTTGTAGGATTGGTTGAATCTGACTGGGCTGCCCTGATCTGAGTGGTTAGGTGAGATTGGATGGTTATTGAGAGAGTTTTCACACGACGATTAGAGTACTCTTTTCGACTCAAGGCATCAGCTACCCCATTAGCCTTGCCTGGGTGGTACTTGATTTCTCACTCATAATCGTTTAATAGTTCAAATTTTCAAGGCAAAGATCACTACTCCCAATTCGTCGTGAAGATGGTGCCTGAAGATGGTGCACTTCGTACCATAAAGGTAGTGCCTCCAAATTTTCAGGGCAAAGATCACTACTCCCAATTCCAGATCGTGGGTTGTATAATTCACTTCGTGTGTCTTTAGTTGCCGGGACGTGTAAGCTATCACCTTTCCACGCTGCATGAGAATGCAACCTAAACCCTAATTTGACGCGTCACAGTAGACTATGAAATCTTCCGTTCCCTATGGTAGTGTTAGTACCAGGGCACTGCAGAGTGCTTGCTTAAGAGTTCGGAATGTATCTTCTTGTTTGTCCGTCCATTTGAATGGTACTCCCTTTTGTGTAAGCGAGGTAAGTGGCTTGGCGATCTTAGAAAAGTTTTGAATGAACCTCCTGTAGTAAACTGCAAGACCTAAGAATTGGCGAATTTATGTGGGTGTTGTTGGGACGGCCCATCCTTCGATGGCTTTGACCTTAGAAGGATCCACATGTATTCCTTCCTGACTAACAACATGACCCAAAAAGTTCACGCTACGGAGCCAGAACGCACACTTGGAGAGTTTTGCGTATAGTTTCTCAGTTTGCAGGGTTTCCAGGATTTGTCAGAGATGTTGGCCATGCTTTTCTTCGCTTCGAGAATAAACTAGAATGTCGTCAATGATAACAATAATGAAGTTGTCAAGGAATAGTCGGCAAATTTGATTCATTAGGTCCATTAATGTGGCAGGGGAATTCGTTAGACCGAAGGGCATTACGACAAATTCATAATGTCTCTAACGAGTTCAAAAAGTGGTTTTGGGAATATCCTCTTCCCGGACCTTGAGTTGATGGTACCCAGATCACAGATCTATCATAGAGAAGTAACTAGCTCCTTGGAGCTAGTCAAATAGATCGTCGATTCGTGGGAGTGGATAGCGATTTTTGATAGTAAGCTTATTTAATTCCCTGTAATCGATGCAAATCCTAAAAGATCCATCCTTCTTCTTGACAAAGAGAACTGGAGCTCCCCATGGTGAGAAACTAGGTCGAATGAATCCCCTTTTTATGAGTTCACTGAGTTGGATGGACAATTCCTGCATCTCAGCAGGGGCCAATCGGTAAGGCGATTTAGCGATGGGAGTAGCTCCTAGCACAAGATCAATTCGAAATTCAATTTGTCTTTCTGGGGGTATCCCAGGAAGATCTTCAGGAAAGATGTCTGGGAATTCACATGCTACAGGAATGTCTTGAATGTTAACCTCTTCCTTGGATTTATCCACTATGTGCGCCAGGAACGTCAAATCTTTCTTTCGTAGATACTATTGTGCATGGACGTACGAGATGAGATGAAGATTCGTGCAGGGTTTGTCTCCGTATATAATTAGAGTTTCATGATTTGGAAGGTGAAGGCGAACGGCATTCTCGTGACACATAATTTCAGCATGGTGGGGGCCTAACCAATCGATGCCAATAATCACATCAAAACTCCTAATGGAAACATTCAAAAGACGTGTTGATCTAGGGCTAGGGTACATCCGATATAGATTTCCCCAGTAGATTTTGTTCTCCCATTGGCCATTTCCACTGTAAAGGTTTCATTGAGCTTCTGGGGTTGTTGTTTTAACAAATGCTTAAACTTATTGTTCACAAATCTTCGTTCTGCTCCGGTATCAAATAGGATGCATGCATAAGTGTGGTTTAGGAGTAACGTACCGGTGACGACAGCGGGATCCTGAACCGCTTCTCCCTGACCCATGGTCAACACTCTTCCTATCCCTCCATTCCCATAATTGTTGTTATTGGGACAATTTCGACGGAAATGCCCAGTCCTTCCACATCCATAACTGGTGTGGCATGGTCCTGTATTGTTGCCGCCATTTCTGGTGTTGTGTTTGTTGCGGTTATTGTTGTTTTTGTTTCCTTGTTGTTGGTTCTAAGGAGGGTAGGTCCTGCAATACTTTGCAATGTGTCCCTTTCGATTACAATTGGTGCACTGCATCTCTCTGCATTCTCCATTGTGATGGAGACCGCACTTGTTACACTTAGGAAGATTACCGGAATAAGGCCTAGGAGCACTTGGAGCAGCGGAGCCTGGAGCATGTGGTGTGGGTGGAACTTGAGTGGTTGTAGCATTAATTGCCACTATTTGTTGCTTCTTGGATGATTCGAAGCCTTGATGCCCCTTCCTCTTGTTGTTCTTTCCCTTTTTGTTGTCATTTTCATTCTTACCTTTAGCCTCCACTGGCTTCTCACCCCTCTTGTTGTTGTGGTCATACAGTTTCTTGGCCAATCTCTTGGCACTGTCGAAAGTTTCGGGGTTTGCAGCTATCACGTTTCCTTGGATCGGATAGGTTAGTCCCCAAATGAATCGCTCGATCTTCTTTCCTTCTAAGGTGATCATGCCAGGGGATAGCAGAGATAGTTCGCTAAACCTTGATATGTATGCATCTATATCAGCATTTCGAACGGTGATATTACCCAGCTCTTGTTCCATTTTCTGAATTTCTCCACGAGGGCAGTAGTCGGCCATCAACATTTCTTTCATCTCTGCCCATGGCATGGAATTGGCTATGGGGAGTGTCATGGCTTCCACGTGTCCGTTCCACCAAGTAAGTGTTTGGTAGACGAAAGTGCATGCGGCAAACTTCACCTTTATCTCTTCAGGGCAATCACATATCTCGAACACCGATTGCACCTTCTCGATCCATCATTTCAGGGTAATCATTCCTCTAGTGTCGTTAAAGGTTTGTGGTTTGGCGTTGGTGAAATCTTTTTATGAGCATGTTTTGGTAGGTCCTTGATTCATCCCGTTGTTTGAACTTCCAGCCCCTTGTCTGTTGACTCCTCCATTGTTCCCCTGGTGAATTCGTGCCATCGCTACGGTGACCACAGCAGATACAGCTGCTTGGAACGAAATTGAGTTGACTCTGGGTGGGGTTGGCCCAGGGTTTCTGCGGTTGGGTCGTTGAGGCATTTTTCTGTCATGGAACGGAAAGATGTTGAGTGTCTGTGGTTTTCATGAGGTTGTGATCCTATAAACTAGGTGTGTGGCACAAACTTTAGTAATTTCACAAATTAGCACACAATTATGGATATGTAACACATAGCAGATTAAAACATCACAATAAACATATAAGATTTTTCATTACTATTATCCACACTTTGATACATGAAAATTTTGCTCGAAAGAGCATACATAAGCGGTACAAGTTAGGCAACATAACGGCTCTATGAGTAGTGTAATCACTTAAACATAGAGTCGGGGTACATAGCATAGATCATAGTACTAGTACTAAAGACTTATACAGCTAACCCTAGTCGCGGTGGGCTGTGCCAGGGGGTGGTGCTGAGGAGGTAGATGCTCCTTGAAGACGAGCCACCTATCATTCTATAGCCTGGAGTCGGGACTGCCACCTTACCTGCCTCATTTGGAACTCTTGGAGGACGTCTCGTATCTCCTGCTCCGCACGCTCAACCCTAGTCTACATCTGGCGTACCTGATCGGTGGTACCCTGAGCTAGGTCACCTGTGTTCCGTAATCATCTCACCATGACTGGAAGAGCACGATCGG